TGGATACTGTGTCACTACGTTCAAAAGAATGAGTAATCATCTTTAAAAGAGTTAAGTTCTCAAACTCAAGGAATTTTTCATTCTAATCAACGTGATAAGTAAACTTATTAATTGGAATAATTTATTTACTCAAGGAATTAACATTTCACCTGAGCGTTTAAGTAAACTCTTTCCAATAGGTAAAATCCTATATCTGATTTTCTGCATTTTTTTCTGATTTAAATGGATCTCTCTTATTCTCTAATGCATGACTATAAGGAGAAAACCAATTTAGCAATTATAATTTTTGTCAGGAAAAGGATCTCTGGTTTTCTGCAAAGAGCAATGTGAGATCTTGGTGATTTATTCCTCTACAGAGCAGTTCCTGAACTTTATGGGTCACAAATTCAAGATCGTAACAGTGTCGTACTTCCCCTACATCGCCTACAAGAAAGACAGCGAGAGTAAGGGAACCACAGTAACTCTCACGGACTCACTCGATGCTCGCTTACTCGACACTTTCTCTCATAAACTCAACTTCACGTGAGTGCTGGAATATCTCTTTCCCCTGAAAATGTTATGCTAGACAAATCTTTGTTAATTAGTGTAAATTGAACTAATATTCATTGTGCTAAGTATGACAATTTTAAATACACAATATATGACGATGTGTTTTATGTCTACTATGAGAAAATAGAAATGTACAGTTCCTCTCACTTGTGAGTTTACAGGGGCTCATCAGGTTTTGTGCAGTGTGGCAGAGCTGTATTTGTTTATAGGAAACTAGCAATAGTAAACATACTATGAAACCAAAGTAAAAAAATGATAAAACAAACATATAATTGTAAAGATTTGTGGAATGTTTATATGTTTAGAAATATATGCATTAAATAGACTGTTATTAGATCGTATCCCTTACCTAGTGGACGGTGGTATAGCGAGGTGAAGTGGCGTAAAGAGAATGTGGGATGCTGGGGGGCAGCAGGGAGGCAGGAGCCCTTCTACCTACAGTAATGGTATCCGCGAATGATAAACTATTAACACTCAATTGAAATTCAATTTTATTTCTATTATTTTCCTCATCTTCTATATTATGTAGATAACCTTCATGCTGTTCATGTTAAACTTTGGCCATAGTGTGAACAAGAGAGTACTCTGCAGTGTAGAGGCTTGTAGCAACACAGTATGTAGACCTGTAAAAAAATTATTTTAAACCATGAAACCTGTAGATTAAAAAAAAATAAATGGTGTCATTTTTCTGATGGGATATAAGGTCGTATTTGTCCAAAGAGGTAAGCGAGGAAAAAATCGCTGGACCCATGACCCACTGAGTGTCTAAGGTAATAAGAGATCAAATACTACCATTTGGGTTCAAAGTTAAATGTGGTCTTAGCGGCTTTACTCTGTAGTCAGCCACATTAAGAATGCTTTTCCTTGTTTCACCTGAGTTATCCCGTTTTGCTGAAGAAGTTGGAAGCTTTGCTAATCTGAAATATTACAAAAGAACAAAACACCCGGAGCTCTCTACAACTATTGTCAGCCTTCAATATGCTGATGTACAGAAGCTGCACAATGTTATTGCTGACTGAAATCCATTTTTTCAGGAAATATGCTCTTTTAAACTTGGTAACAGGAGGTGTAATGCCAGAAAATGTCAAGCATATGTGCATATGAAGCTGGAAAATAAAGGGTTGGAAATTTTGTCAAACAACGCATTGTTGGTCCAGTAGGCATCTGGGAAATGATGACCGAGGTTAATGTTCTGTCATGGAAAGCTGCAAATAAGACTTCAACCATCAAATTAACTTCACAAGTTATAAACTTAAGCAGAACAGATCTTTATTTGCTAGACTGATATTCATCGCAAGATCCCGTGATGAAATTTATCTACAAGAGGCAATTGGCATGTATGAATCCACTTGTCTGCCAAGATCTCTCTTCTCCCCAGATTCTGTCCTTGTTTACCAAGACAAAAGCAAGCTCATGGGTCTCCTTGAAGCAGTTCCAAAAAGTGAAGAATCTATTGATGTTCAAAGCATTGCAGATCCACAAAAGGAACCATGTCATGAGACTATCACCAACGATGGCATGGCATTAGTTGACGAACTGTTAACATTGTCTGTCAAAAAATGTGCAGAGTTTGCAAACTGCTTCATCAACACATTATCAGCTAAGGCAAAAAGTTATGATGCTTTGCACCTTGTATTTGATCGTTATGACGTAGGCCACTCGTTAAAACAAAGAACAAGAAACCGACGCTATGGCAAGGAAGCAAAGGCATACATCAATGAAATCACAGATTCAACACATATTAAACTCCTAAGAAGTTATTCAGCAACGTCAAGACAAAATCATCATTGACCACCTATCTAGGAAACAAAGCACTGCTTCTGTTCCAGTCAAGCAAAACCTCATTTGTGCTATCAACAAAGAACGGTGTTATGTCAAATGGCGAAAATGTTGAACGGTTGAAAAGTAACCCTGAGGAAGCAGCTGCTCTGCATCACAGAAGGGCAGCACAGTACATATCATGTCACCAGACACTGATGTGCTTGTTCTAAGCATATTAAAGCAGCCTTAACTTGGAGAAAATGCAAGTATGATAGCAGGAACTAGTGAGCGACGACACAGTGTTTCTTTCAAATCCATATATGATGCTATTGGGCCAAGTTTTCATGCCTTCACAGGATCTGACTGCACGGAAAATTTGCTGACAAAGGAAAGAAAATATGTTAGAGCACTTTGATGAAATCTAACACAAAGGTCCTAGATGCATTCAAGATGGTCATTAGACCAAATGTCCCTCCTGCAGACATGTATATTGGTTTACCAAGAGGAATTTGTATGTAAGTTCTACTGTCCACGAATGACTTTCACTGAGCTGTCTAAACTTAGATGGCGTGTATTCAACGCAGGCAGAGGCCGGAAAACCTCAACCGACTGCAGCAACTCTAAAGTATCATATATTGAGAGCAAGGTACCAAGCCCTTCTGTGGTCTTGTAATGCAAAGAGTGAATTGTTTTCACCATTGGAGCATGACTGGAAGATTGAAAATGACTGTTTCATACCAGTAATATTAGACCTGCCACCAGCTCCAGAAGCTATCATAGAGCTTGTTAAGTGTGGATGTGGTGTCAGCAAATGTGGATCGTTGTAATGCTCATGCAGAAACAATAATATAGCATGCACGGAGATGTATAACTGTCAAGCAGACGATGAGAAATGCCAAAACAAGGTGAAGGAATCTATGTTTTACACAGAAGAGTCTGATGATGATGACTGAAACAATGTGGTAAATAATAGCTTGTGACTTGTATACATATGATGTATAATACTATAAACAAACAATAAATTCAAAATGGATGTTCTAAGCTTTTCAGATAATGGTATTATGTATATGTTTAATTTCCAGTATTTGTCTTAAGCAACCATTGTGATCATATAACACTACATTTTGTTATGTTATTAGTCATGTTTTAAGTTTTTTAGGACTTAATGGTAATACCTTAGTGGTTGATTACGCCACTCTTTGATAAAATATCTTTCATGGCATAAAATTTATAGTAAACCGTTCAGAAGAAATGAAAAAATGTTTTTATGAATCTACATGTTATAAAGATTAATATGATGTTTGGTTTGAATTTAATTGAACTGATTCTTTATTTACATGTGCTTGTTGCTTCGTAGAACAATCTACTATACTATACTAGCACAGTAAATAAAACATGTAATAATAATATGAGTGCTTTCAATCTGTCTCAGTATCCGAGGTGCGTGTCACGTCTGGTTGTGTAAGGATGGTAAACTGTAAATGAAAATATGACTTTTTCTAAGCACAACTAATATAAGTTATATAAATGTCCTTATCTGCAAAGTAATCAGGACAAAGCGAGGGGCGTGAATTTACTGATCTTTGATAACATACCGTAAAGAGTGTTTGACACTTGTATCATTTAAGAAAATTTATTTAGTTGTCATTTCAGACATTTTATTTTTTGAAACCAGTTAGAAGGTAACAATATGCGTTGAATATGTTTCTAAATAAATTATGTGTGGTGAAGGAGTTTTCATATTTATGCCCACCACTTTTATTAAAATGGAAACAAGTTAGCAACACTTGAGGTGCCAATACAACATTTCATATTCATTCGTAACAGGACACAGTGGGAGGTTTTCTTCCGATCTATCATTCTGATGTAATCATTGTACCGTGGTGACGAATGGCGTATATAACAAATTTTCACTGGAATAAACAATGAACTATATAAGATAATCAATGACTACTGTACGATAGTTTATGTTCCATAATAATAATAATAATGGTTGCCCCATTGTATTAAAGATGTTTGTGTGAAATAATTTGTATTAGAAACCTCCCATATCAAGATAGGTTAAAGAAAATAAATTTACATTCCCTAGAAAGACGAAGAGTGCGGGGAGATATGATAGAAGTATTCAAGTGGGTGAAAGGAATCAATAAAGGGGATATAGATAAAGTTCTTATATTATCCGAGCAGGATAGGACTCGTAGCAACGGATTTAAGTTGGATAAGTTTAGGTTTAGGAGGGAGATAGGAAGGAACTGGTTCACAAATAGGGTGGTGAACGAGTGGAACAAGCTTAGAAACTTTGTAGTAAGTGCTGGAACACTGGAAAGTTTTAAAAGGAGGCTATATAGATTCATGGATGATGGAGAGTGGTAGTAACTCTCGACAGGAGCTGCCATCCACAGGCCAACCGGCCTATTGCAGACTCCTTATTTTCTTATGTTCTTATGACCTATTATTTTTAATACAATTTCACTTGCTGAAGGAGTATCTTATCTGTTGTCAAACAATACAGTAAATATTTTCTTTCGCAATGAGTTATCTAATCGTCTATCAGTTGCATCTATGGACTAGGGAGGCTAAGGCCTCTAGGGGTGTATGCCTGGTGTGTGGTGGGAAGGAGAGCGAGAAGGTGTTGTGAGAAACGTAAGAACATAAGAATGGAGGAAACTGCAGCTGGCCTATTGGCCCAT